ATTAAGTGGTTCTAACTTCTTTTAAAGAAGTTAGAAAAAGCGTTAAACGAGAGAAATTTTTGTTCATAACTTGTTTTTTGGTGAGCACTTTTGTCACAAACAGAATTTTGTTTCAAAAACTGGGAGTAAGTCCCTAAACTTCCCCACCCCCTCGAAAAATTTGTAACGAAAACACTGCCGGTGAGAATCTCATAAGCCTTTTGCATGGGTTTTGTTTGATACGTAAAGCCTTCTAGTACGATTCTTGACGATTAATCCTTATATAAGAACGGCCGACTATGGTGAGCTTATTCCCAACCTTCTCAGACCACAGTCAAAACAATCGAAGCTAAAATCGAACAAACGAACATTCATCACATAACCGACCAGATTCAAAACATGCAGCTCATAGAAGAACCCGTTTATCCGCTTCCAACGCATTTTTCAGTGCTTCACCTCCTCGAGCAGATATTTGGTTCCCACTAAGATCAAGTTGAGTCAGAGTTTTATTTACTTTCAACGCATCTGCCAGTGCTTCACCTCCTCGAGCAAATATTTGGTTCCCACTAAGATCAAGCTGAGTCAGAGTTTTATTTACTTTCAACGCATCTGCCAGTGCTTCACCTCCTCGAGCAGATATTTGGTTCCAACCCAGATCAAGTTGAGTCAGAGTTTTATTTACTTTCAATGCATCTGCCAGTGCTTCACCTCCTCCATCAGATATTTCGTTCCCACTAAGATCAAGCTGAGTCAGAGTTTTATTTACTTTCAACGCATCTGCCAGTGCTTCACCTCCTCGAGCAGATATTTCGTTCCCATGAAGATGAAGCTGAGTCAGAGTTTTATTTACTTTCAACGCATCTGCCAGTGCTTCACCTCCTCGAGCAGATATTTGGTTCCCACGAAGATCAAGCTGAGTCAGAGTTTTATTTACTTTCAACGCATCTGCCAGTGCTTCACCTCCTCCATCAGATATTTCGTTCCCACGAAGATCAAGCTGAGTCAGAGCTTTATTTACTCTTAACGCATCTGCCAGTGCTTCACCTCCTCGAGCAGATATTTTGTTGCTAGGAAGATGAAGCTGAGTCAGAGTTTTATTTACTTTCAACGCATCTGCCAGTATTTCGGTATCTTCGTCGTCAGTTAGGATGTGAATGGTAAGTTGAAAAACTGAGTTCATTTCTTGTAATTTTGTTTGCAGGTGTTTGTTTTTTATTGGTGTTTTGTAAATGGTTATTGGTTTCAGGGACGGCGGAGTGCCGATGGTGAGTTCTAATTTTTCGTTGACTTCGATAATCTAGAAATTGAAATCGAAACCAATATTCACTGTGGCAATGTTTGATACCGTAGTAGAATATGCTTTTCAGCTTTCTGACGTGAATATGGAGTGAAATGAGAAGGAAGGAAGCGAAGACTCAGATAACATCAACGTGAGACGCGCAATGAACAGTAACGTTTCACCACCACTTCATCCACTAGTTTTTATCGTGGCACAAGGATGTTATTCAGTGCATGATCAGTGTTGTCTGACTCGCGGACATCTGTTATCCGAGACATGCGATTTCTCATCGGAGATTCTATAAAGAATCCAAGAGGTCGATGGTCCATCGACGCTGGAATATATAGTCCAAATGGTGTACGGCATTGATCAACTGGACTTATAGGATTGCTGTTAAGTGGTAAAGTCATGAAATAGCTCACGGAAATGGTTCGTAGGTGCAAAGAGCAAGGGAGATTTTTGCATTTTGTCAGAAATTTCTCTGTTGCAGTTGGTACTTCAGAATAGTTAAGGTATACTGTACAGGAGACAATCAGAGCTAGCTATATATTTAGAAATGATTTCAGCACATAACTGCAGTATCATATCTATCGACCCGACTTTCGAAGTGAATTTAGGTTTTCAATCTCAAGAGGAATTTTTCCAGTTCAGTGGAAAGTAGCTAGTATAACACCAGTATATAAAAAAGGAGACTCATCGTTTATCGAAAATTATCGCCCAATTTTACTTCTATGCGTTGTAAGTAAGATCCTTGAGAAGATTATTCATAAACAGCTGTTATCTTTTCTTCTCGACAATAGGTTGTTAAGCGCTATCCAGTTTGGGTTTAGACCGTCTTCTTCAACGTTAGATGCTTTACTAAGAGTTACTCACTTTCTTTTTAGCAGCTTAAGAGTATTGCATAGGGTTAAGCTTTGATCTGTCAAAAGCGTTCGATTGTGTATCGAATGACCTTCTACTAAATAAGTTAAAACTACTTGGTATCGATGGGAGGCTTCTTAACTGGTTTACATCTTATCTTACAGGGCGCACTCAGTTTGTCAAAATTGGCGAGAGCTTTTCCTCTCAGTCGCCGGTTCTCTCGGGGGTGCCAGAAGGGTCCTTCCTCGGCCCTTTACTTTTTATTTTATTTCTAAACGACTTTTCCGCGCCAGTTTCGTCGTCTGTGATAGATAGTTTTTTTGCTGATGATCTTTTTGTGGTTTTATCGTTCAAAATATCGGAAAACATTTCTACTTTTCAAAATTTAGTTCAAGCTGAAATAGACAGGGTAACAGACTGGTGTGAGAAACATTATATGTCACTCAACGTTGACAAATGTTCATACACTTACTTTTCACTTGATCCCAAAATAAAGCCCGATTTTAAGTTAACTCTATTAAACTCGAAGTTCTTGCTCGATACTGATCCTAAACTTTTAGGTATGCGTCTTTCTCACGATATGAAATGGGCAACACATATCCGCGAAGTAGCAACATCTTGTTGGAAAATGCTTGGTGTTATTGATCGAGTTTTCGGAGGAGCATCTCAGTCAATTCGCTTAGTTTTATATCTTACTTGCGTTTTACCCAAAATCGATTACTGTAGTGCTCTTTACGATTCTAAATTCACCACACATCTTGAACCATTAGAGGCGGTTCAGCGTTTAGCAAGTTGTATTATTACCAGAAACTTCAATTACGAAACTGATAGTCTATCTCTAGTCAATAACCTAGGTTTGCCCGATCTCAGTGTCAGTCGCCAGTACTTTCGACTCATATCATTTTACAAAATTTTCAATAATTTGACTCTTCTCGAATCTCAGGATTTCCTTGCTAAATTGACTTCTAGGTCTCTCCGAGCAGCGCATTCTTATATGGTCGACATACCCTTCACTCCTTTCGAAACTGTCCAGTCATCCTTC